GGTTGGGTAGACGGAACAGTGGATGGTCCAATTCTATGGCCTCATCTAATATTCTTAACATGTGGTGCATGTTCCGAGGTGCTGGTCTGTTCGACCATAGGTTCTGATGAGATAGGTGCTTCCATAGGATGTGTTATTATATTATCCTCTAGATTAGGTACTTCTACCTCTCCTTCCATACCTTCTTTCAGGCGTTCATTTTCTTCTTGTCTCCTACGTCTAGCCATTTTAATAGTCTCACCGGGCTTACCAAAATATATGTTGGCTTTTTTGGCTTTCGAAGGTTAATAATGTAATTTAAACGTGTCAGTAAGGATCAATTAGTCCTTACAGAATTTATAATTGTCAACCAACTATCAAGCGATTGTGTTGAAATTTTTTCAACCACAATGAAGAGAACTTTTACTGGTGGCTTATTTAGGAGAAAATTGTGAATAATAACAAATAAATATAATTCAGAAATCGAATTTCATTAAGCAAATGAAAACTTACATTGAAGTTACAATGACCCTGCCTCGACGAGGTTCACAGAAACAAACTACTAAAAAACTACTCCTAGGAAATGAAGTGCAGTACAGAAATTGAAATGCTGGAAATGTAAAACTGGAAAAAAAAATGAAGTAAATAAACTGGTTTCTGGATCTGAGTGTGGATCCTTCATTCTAGGGCCTTCCTTGCTATTTATACTTCTCAGTGGTAACCGTCGAAGTGAGCTTCCAACCGTCGAAGCGTCCTCCCATGATTACTGAACATGCTCTCTCATAGTCAATCCCACTACGCCACTCTTGCAGTTAGACTTCCCTCTTAATTTTGAATTTAAATTTATGAGTAACCGTTAGGCCACGTCATTTTGTGTCACTCGGCTGTTCCAGTGCTATGCAGATCCATTATTACCAATACGAACTGCCACATGTCCGCCTTTGATTGGCAACTTATATTAACTCTCCAAATTACCCTCCTCGTGCCATGTGTTAAATTTTAATTGACTTATACAAAATATATAGCCAACAAAGTCATAATTAATATTTTGACAAATCATATCCTTATAAAAAAATTGACCTAATAGCCACACAATTCAAGAACCTCATTTGATTGTAACGCAAGTTTCTATGGATTACTTGTTATGAATTATGATTAACAGACAATTTTATTCCCCCCCTACATTTGTCTTAAAATATAAATTAGTACAAAAATATAACTCATTAACATGTGTTGTCATTGATACATACAATAATAAGTCCCATGAACATATTAACGTAAGTAAATTTATCATCAACCATATAACATACTTTATTTTAATTTAAAAATAAAAAAGACATAATATGTCTTAATTCAATCAAATCAATATGTAAAGAAATGGAGTGGCTTTTGTGCGAGGCACAACAACCACAGTTGTGTCACCCTAGAGGTTTATTTCGGAATCTATTTCGACGATTTAAATTATTTATATTTTAAAATATATAAAAGAGAATATGTTTGTAAAAAGTTAAATTAATCGGATATCGTTAACTATTTTATTGAATTGCATTTGTATCTACAAAAATAAATAACAATTGTGATTTAAAAATAAAAATGAATACAAAAGTAAATAGATGAAAGGGTTAATGATATCCGATTAACTTTATTTTTTGCAAGCATGTTCTTTTCGATGTACTCTAAAATGTGAATAATTTAGATTATCAAAATGGGTCCCAAAATAAGCTCATATTGCTGCACAATAGTGGTTATTGTATCCCTGCACAACAACAACCTCATCTCCTGTGTACAAACAATAAATATACAAAATAACAAATTTCCTCAAAAAAATATAAACATATTATGTTATAAACTACAAATCTGTAGAAACAAATCAAATCCAAATCGAAATGTATAAATCATGAGTATTACAATCATTTAATAAATAGGAAAATTATTCAATATTTTCGAAATACTACGTGTATGTACTTCTTAAACAATCATCACTTAATATGCCTCCTTATGTTCCTCAACATCCAACACAATACCCTCACTTACCCATATTCTCTACTAATCATAATACTATATAATATCACGTGTGCATATTTTAAAATTACTAAATAATTATCCTTTATTTACATCATACGCTGTGTACAAATCAAACAATGCAAACACTTTTTTTAAAACATAAAAGGATTCTACAACTATTATGCCTCAACAGTACAGACCGTTTAATTGTATAAAATTCCAAAACATAATTTCTTCTATTTCTTTGTATAAACAGAACCTGCTAACAAGAATCTACTGCATATACTTGCAGATATACAAGGTTGTATCTATCTCTTTATTGACTCTAGATTGAGATCAATAAACAACAAAATCGATTCTGTGTAAATAAAATTTTTGTTTCAAACTAAAGTTTCGGAAAAGCAAGAATTTTTATAAAACATACACAGTGTACAAAAATAAAACCATATTATGTTTCTATTTTGTTTGAGTTTGAAATTTATGATAACAGAATAAGAAACAAAACAATTGGAAATAGAATCTAACTCAAACACAGATTTGGATAGAAGCATCATCGTTAGTGCCTAAAATCAGTAAATAATATTGAGAGTTTTACCTTAAATCGGAAACACATTATGTGAAAAAACAATTTGCAAAAAAATAAATTATTTTACCGTAAATAGGAAACACAATATGTGGGACAACAATTTGCAAAAAATAAATTTAACCGAAAAAAATTAATCTTTACCACACCATTTGTACAAACAAAACTACAAATAGATGGGAATTTCTAAAATTGTAAGAAAATATTTTTGAAAGAATCAATTTAATGCAAATAAATAATAAAATAAAACACAAGGAATTTCTTACAGGAGTTCTGTAAAATTTAAACAATTTGTGACCGAGACCAGTGTTTAAATAATGTGTATTTAATATAGAAATTCGCCCTCGCCTTTGGTGCTTGCAATTGATAGGTGTCCTGCCTCCAAGATATAACGATCACCACAAGCAGAAATTGCACAACTTTTTTGTGTGTATAGCGAACCAATTTGTATCATACACTCTCTCTTATATACTCAACTAAACATAATATATGAATCATAAAACTCTTTTTTATTCTCTATGGATGCCATGGAATAGGGTGAGATGGTATTTATAAAAGTGGTTAAGACCATTCTAAAAGGTCATAACTCATCGATCGAACATTTTCACCTGAGGCACCATGAAAGTTACACCTTTCTATTTGAATGGTGTGAATTCCCATTTATTTATAAAATTTTCTAACCAACACGGTGTAGGATTTTATTTTCGATTTGCTCTATGTTTGTTGCTGCATTACAATCATTTTCTTCTGTTAAAGTTGGGTTTTAGCTGGTCACCAAACTGATTATCCAAAATTTCACTTTAATTTATAATATTTAGAAGTATAGTTTATTTTATTTTAACTATGTGCAAATTATCTTTTTTGTATATTTATGTAGTTTAATCTAAATTTAACTTTAATCCGTATTATATCAATTTAAATAGCGTTAACTCTAAATTTTAAGTTCAATTTTTGGTCATTCTATCCAAATTATTGTCAATTTTTTCTCCTTATGTCAATACCTTCATATTAAAATTTTGTGAATTTCAACATTCAATTTTTTTTTAAAAAAAGACAAAATTAAAACTAAATTTAAAGTCTTAAGGCCCATATTAGTTCAAATTAAAATAATTTGAATCAAAATACATGAGTGAGTTTAATTTACCCTTAAATTTTTAACAAAAAATTATTTCATACTCTAAAAAAAATTCTTTGAAATGCTATCCCCATAGAATCTGAACCCTTCGGTGTTTGGCAAGTTGGGTTGGGGCTAAAATAGCCACAAAAGACAAAACAGACTATTTTAGCCACAACAAACAAAACATCACATCCAACCCATAATCATTACACTCTTCTCTCACAAAAAAAATCAAAAAAGCCAAAAAACCAAAAAGCCCTTCCCAAACCAAACTTTTTAGCCCAGGCTAAAATAGCCAAAAAAACCAAAAAGCCAAAAAGCCAACCCACTTCCCAAACGGAGGCTTCGTAAATTGAAACCCTTTTAAATTCAACGGGTTAATTCTTGACTAGTTGTTAAAAAATTAAAAATTTAAAAAAAAAAAAATTAAAAATTTACTAAAAACAAAAACAATCAATCTTTTTAAACTTCTTTAATAGAAAATTTTAATTTTATCTTTAGTAATTAAATTTTTTAGTCATCTATTTGAGACAGATCTGGAAAATAAATTAAAAAATTAATATAATATTTATATTTTATTAATGTGTGCCTTTAAGACACAATGCTTAAAAATGTTGTACATCAACCATGAAAATGAATGCATTAAAAAACGTATAATGTATGATACCTTTCAAGTTTTCTTAACATGTAATTTTTTTATTTTTTTTATTCAAAAAAAAATACTAAAAATGAAAAAACACCAAACAAATAAGTCAAAAATGCCAACACTTAAGGACCAAGCCATAAACAACAGATTGATCTTGAGACCAACAGCATTTAAGAACCACTGAATAACATTAACCTCATCTGGCCCCTCATTCAATTGATGGATATATATTATATATATATAGTCTATTATATAAAAGCATACATATCATTTGGTGTGAATACAATCACACCTTTTTTTTTTTTACTTTCAAATGAGCCTAGAACTGCTAAATGATTTTTCTCATTCATTAAACCGCAGCTCAATCATCAAATCATTCAAAAATTTAGAAGTAAAATTGCAAATGCAACGAGTTTCCATCTACTGCTAGCGTGTGTGTGTGTATAGAATTCTAAGAAAGGGTCAGCAACTATTCTTTCCAGCATCCCTCAATCCCATATAGATTTACCCCAGTTTAGGCAAAGAACCACCATGCACATTCCATTAGATATCAATCTAGTGAGAAGATAATATGGATTCATCTCTATGACAATGGAACATGACCCTTGATTGACAATTTAATTGACAATTCATAAAATTAGAATGCATGTCTAAAGACCAACAAGATCATATAGAAACAATTGAGGTGACATACTTCGGTTTCCCTTCCTTTAACATAGCAATATAATACCATCTGAGGAGTAGTGCATAAACTTCAAAGCATAATATCACACACCAAAATTACAACACTTCTGACAATCAATTTCTCATAAAGAACCAGATTAGCAGCCCAAAATGGGTGAACACAACATTTTCTTCATGAGGTTAAACAAGTTCCCAACAAAATTAACTTCCAATTATGTAACTTACACTATGTCCATTCCACGACACCCCTCCCTTGCTTCCAAAAAAGACATGCAAAAAGAATATTCGCAGTAATAATAATGATACAAAATTTACCATGCATTATACCTGGTCATGTATGCTGGTATAGGGCTCCGAAAACAAACACCCCACAGCTGATTCCATGTAGTTTAGCACATTGTGGTCCTCCAATTTCAAAATGCACGACAAAGGTACTTGCATTATGTCAAAGAAAGCCACAAATCATCCAAAGCCCAAAAAGCCAGATATACGCATTTGGTAACAATAGATCGTTTGCAGATGAAAAATAAGGCAGACTTTGGTAGGGGCTGCTTCCTTCAAGATGTAGGATATCTCTTCAGATAACCAGTGCAACCAACATCAAGTTTATACAACTTATTGCCCCACCAAACATGGTATCAAGCTCTTACCTTCAAAAGATGTAAACCAGAAAGTATGCAGTGCGAGGTGTCGCTGTATGACAACATCAATTTTCTCACGTAATGCTCAAGCCAATTCTAACAGTTTACAACAACTTGATCAGACCCCTTAAACTAAATCCAACTTGTGTGTATCATATGTCAATAATAGATGTTTTTTCATCACCTTAGAGGGCTAACAACCCAGCCTGTAATTGGACTCTGCCTCCGAACCCTGACTGTCCTATGCAAACCACTTTGCAACCTTTCAAGAACTGCATATGTGATTGAATCTGGTGTTAACCCCTGTTGTTTAAGTTTGGCATAAAGATCCACCGCTTCAGCAGTTCTCCCAGACCTCTCAAGGCAGTCAAGTAAGATATTGTATGTTACAATGTTAGGGCAACAGCCTTCAGAAAGCATCTCGTCAAACAACCTACAAGCCATTTCAACTTTATCTGTCTTGCCAAAGCACTCAATCAATGTGCTATAAGTGACAACATCAGGATTCAATCCCTTTTCTTGCATCTCTTTGAACCTCATGTGGGCTTCATCAAGATCACCATTCTTCCCCAGGCAGTTAATTAAAGAGTTGTATGAGATGATATCAGGACTACAATTACTGTTCTCAAGCTCTTCAAAGATTTTCACAGCTTCATCAACTCTCCCAGCTCTACCAAAGCTGGAGATCAGTATATTGTAGGTAAAAATATCTGGCGAAGGGCCATCTTGCTTCATCTGATCATAAATATCACGGAGATAGGAAATTTGTTTTAATTTGCCGAGAGCTGAGAACACAGTGTTATACATAATAGTATCTGTACTTATTCCCTTTTCATGAACCTTACTTAACAAGTCCAAAGCCTCTGCTATTTTACCCGCATTGCATAAACTCTCTAACATGGACAAGTATGCATCCCTATCCCCATTATCATGGAAGCTCCACATATTGCAAAAAAGCCGGTGAGCTTCACTTGCATGGCCCAATTTACTCAATGTCCTCACAAGATAAGCATATATCGACTTATTCATGTATTTATTTGATATTTTCACAACCTCGTCAAGTTTACCAAGCTGCCCTTCTGCAACCAAAACATTTAGAATGACACTGTACGTAAACTCGTTGGGCCGACAACCATTTTCAACCATTTTAAAGAAGAGAAATATCGTCTTGTCAACCATTCGATTTTTAGCAAGTGCCTGGATCATAGTATTATAAGCAATTAAGTTTGGAATACAACCCTTGGCTAGCATTTCTTGAAACAATGTCAGTGCTTCATCGGGTTTCCCAATTTTGCCGGTCATTCTGATCAGAATAGTGTATGTATACTCATCAGGTTCACAGTACTTCCGTTTCATGTCTTCGAAAACCTTGTACGCCTGGCCAACCTGTCAATATGCTGCATATCAGATCATCAGGATCTGTGTGACTGATATTTACAAAACTAATTATAAAATAGATGGGTGGAAAATTCAAGGGAATCCACATAAATCAACTGCAAACTAGCATTACAGACGACTCAAAAAACTTAGTTCTAGTCATTCATGATTAAGATTACAATGTTCAAATACCTATTACTAAGATGCTTGAGGTGTTCATCACTTTTGACAAGCCGAAAAACTGCTAACCTATTGGTTCCCTCAGAGACCATTGCACACAATTTAAGACTTGTCCAATTCTTCAATGTGTGCAATCCAGAGGAAATAAATTGCTCTGCACTTTATACTTTCCTCCCAAGGATGTTATTACCACCAATCAGTGATCAAATAAGACAATTGACAGAACTTCAATTTGCAACTACATGCTAAAGTTGTCTGTGTATACCATTTTTTTCATATTTAAGGACACGAAATTGGGTTTGAAAACAGTTACCTCAGCTCATCCCCGTAAGTTCTACTATACATTTTGAGGGTTCTCCAAAACCGTCCATCTACTGACATTGTTTGAATAGTTTTCCCTAAACAATACTACAAGGAAAGTGATGCGCAAACAAAAAAATTCATAACAAGAATACCACAAGAATGATGTGGCAATGGCATTTTGAAAATGTAAGTCATTTTAATGGGCTTTGGGATTTGGAATGAATGGGCACAAATCTGCCACGTCATTTTGTATGGATTTTTACAAATTTTGTGTTTTGTATATCATCACTCATACCACAATTGTTATTAGCAACATACACAACACATCTTCAAGTAAATCCATCTTTGTAAAGTACTAATCTTTATGCTTGTTTTAAAAATGACAAAGCTTGAAAGAATCTCTACGTTTTGGATAACTTTAACATTGTTTCATTCATTCAAAAAGTCCACATTTCCACATTCATGAATCATACCCACAAATACAACGACACTAATCATATATTCATCACATTGCAATAACAAATGAATAAGAATTTCAATTCTAGAACCCATAAAGGTACTAAAGATCAGACCTTTTCATCCTTAACCAGAGCATCAAGAAGCATATTATACGCGAATATATCCAATTTATATCCTCGCCTCCTCATATCCATATAAACTTCGAAGGCCTTATTCGAATCATACGATCGCAAATACGCCTGAAGAAGGCACTTATACGTATAGCAATTCAACCTCAAGTCCCACTTTTTCACCAACCCTAAACACCTCTCCAACTCTTCGCCTCCGCCGAACATTCCGATCAAGATATTGACGGTGGAGATGTTGCCACGTACCCCGGAGTTTTCCATCTCGTCGAGGATCTGACGGACGGTGTCGGATCGGTGGAGAGAACAGGATTTGGAGAGGATGAGGAGGATGCGATTGTAGGTGAAGGAGTTGTGGCGGAATTTGGGGATAGAGGAGGGGCAAAATCGGAAGAAATGGAGGGCGAGGGTGGGGGAATTGAGGGATTTGAGGATTTCGGAGGCTTCGGAGGGGGTTAGGGTTAGGGTTAGAGTTTGGAGGTAGTCGGAGAGTTCGGAGAAGGGGTCGTCGGAGGTGGCGGTGGTGGTGGTGAGGATTTTGGTGATTTTGCAGATGAGGTCGCGGCGGGGGAGAGTGTAGCCTCTGGTGTCGGTTTGGAGGGTGGGGGAGTCCACTTCCACGGCGAAGGAGCGGCCGTTGTCGGCTTCGACGACCACTCTGCCGCTGTATTTGGTGGCGAAGTGGCGGCGGAGGAAGTGGTGGTGGCGATGGTGTAGCTTCATTGTCGGCTTCTTCTATGGTCTGCTCTCTTCGCTACTGCTGAATTCAATTGGCTTTATGGGCTTAACAAGTTGGGCCTCTGATAAGGCCCGTTGTGAAGATCCATGTTTAATCATGATTTTTAGCTGGGCCTAAACTCATTGACAAATGCATGTTTTGGGAAATGCACTTTTTAACTTTTATATGTTGGTTTAATTTTGCTTTTAGCGAATTTTTTTTTCAAATTTTTAGGTTTCTAACAGGAAAGTATAATTTTTTTTTTAAAATCAAAAAAAAATCAGAAAAGACAAAAATAAACCAAAGTAAGTTAACTTTTTTGTCTTATTTTCGTTTTTAGTGATTTTTTTTTTTTAAATTTTAAAAATATACTTTTTAGATTTTTCTTGATAAGGCGGACTGAGAAAGTTTTTTTAAAAATGACATAATTTTGAAAAAAAAAAAAATCACTAAGACAAAAAAATATGAAAAAAGATGTGGCTTTTTTTTGTTGCCAAAATGGACTCCTCTTTTATTGTAAGCTAGGATATGGGGGGAATTCTATTTGCACCCAAGAATCATTTAGTATGTTCAATTTCTCAGTACTTTTTATTAAATTATTTATGTTATAATTTATTCTCAATATACCTTTTTTTTTTAATAAATTACCCTTCAAAATAAAATGATAATTTATGATACACCAAAATAATAAACAAATTAAAAAATCCTAAATTCCTCCGAGTCAATCTCGCTGACCTCTGCAAATATGACAATCTTGGTGAATTGCTCCGCAACTCCCCCACCGATTACCTTCCCTGCTATTTCAAATCTCACCATTAATACAGAAAGTGGGTTATAATCCACTTCCCAGATTATAACTCACTTCCTCTCTCACAAAAAAAGCTACTTATAGTAGTTTTTTACCAAAAACTGATTATAACCATCTTCTCAAAATAACCTTTATTTGGATAACCACCTGCCCTTACTTTTGTAAATCTCATCACTGATTCATGTGTTTGTATATATATTGGTATTATTGTGTTATTTATTTTACATGGGACCATGGGTTGTTGAGATTTTGACTTGTTTGTATCTATCATAAGTGAGAAGAGTATCTTTTTTGAATCCTAGACATTGTTTTGTTTTGTTTTGTTATATATTTATATATAAACATGATAATATGATTTTAGACATATGAAACATATAGAACTTGAGTGCGTCGCCAGTGATGGCTAATATAATTTGATGTAGCTCTTAATGTTTTATTGCTCAGGAACTCATGGGTGATCCTCATTGAACAATATTTATTTTGGAAGGAAGGATTGTGAGTTTTGAGCATTTCTTCTATTTATAAGTACCAACACAATAAAAAATAATAATTTTAATGATAATGGTAAGTTTTGATGGATGGATTAGAATTTTGGAGTGAAAAAAAATAAAAAATAAAAAATAAAAATTGAAGAAAAAATAATTAAAACTTGAAAAAGATGATGAACAGACTTGATTATGAAAAATATGTATAAATGATTAGTGTGTACCACAAAAAACAAAATAATATTTTATTTTAAGATGTAATGTATATTATCCTTATTAGTAAATTTATATTAATGTATAATATGAATTAAAATTTTAATTGGGCATCTACTGAGTTACTATTTGAGATATGATAAGGGAAAATTGGTCTAGGGTCCCTCTCCCACTTTTCGTAATGGAAGAGATCTACAAAATTATTTTTTGATGTCTAAGGTTCCTAAACATATATCAAAGAAATTTCAATCCTTTATACAATCTTCATCATCTGACCCATTCCATTTCTCAACCAAAATAGCTCTAGCTTGCTCGCAAAGCGTCTTGACCTCAGCTTCTGTTAGAGGCTTGAACTCCATCAAGTGCTCGATCTGCCGATCCAGATCCGCATGCGAAGACATTCTCTCTCTCTCTCTCGCTCTCCGATCTGAAACACCGATTGATCAGAGACTGAGATTTTGATGAAGCGAAGTACAGTGCATTTAAGGATATATCAGGAGAATATCGACAGGGCTTGATGGATGCAGAGACTTATGTAGGTTATGTGAATCAGTTTGGCTTGTCACATCTTGTTATTGAGTTGGCTGGACTCTGCCCTGATGCTGAGAAGCAGAGAGCACTTGTTGAGACCTATGATGCAACTTTGCGAAACAATGGCCTACAAGAAAAGTTTTGGAGCAAGGACAGCTCACATATGAAAGATGGTAATGGTTCCAAGAAGGTAAAGGAAAGTGCTTAGATGCTGATGACACTCAATATTGGTGAAGTCAATTTTTTCTGGCTTGAAAAGTCCAGAATTTATCAATTTTTTTCTGATTTGAAAATTGGTCAAACTTTTCTCTGGGTTGAACCCAGAGAAATTTTTTGGAAGTCCAGAATTTCTCTAGACTAATTTTCTCTAGACCAATATTCTCTGACCTGAAGAAAGCTTCATTATTGTTATTTATTTATTTGACCTGAAGAAAGCTATATGATTGAAAATACAACTTTTATATCCAGTTCGATTCTTAAAAGATACTTATTTGTATTTTTGTTTTCTTAGAAAAGAGCCTTCTAGCTATGACTTTGAAGCAACATAGAATTTTTGCTCACTCAATACCTGCATGTATGTATCCTACACTTGCCATAATTTAAGTGTGTATGTAAGGGAATGTATATGCTTGTGTATAAATGTAGTACCATGAAAATATTCTTCTGTTTATTACCTTTAAAAAAATAGTTAATATTTTAATGATAAAAAACACACTGCTTCATCAAAAAAAAAAAATTTCCCGAACTGTCAATTGCAACAATGATGGAGGATCAAACCCATGGCAGAGAAATTTGAAATTTCTCTGGAGTCCATGAAAGACTAAGAAAATTTTTCTGGCAGTGTCCATGAAAGGCTAAGAAGGCAGAGAAATTTTGAATTTCTCTGGACCAATTTTCTCTGACTTGAATTTTCTCTGGACCAATTTTCTCTGGATTGATATTGAGGGACCTTAGACATCATGAAAATATTTGATGTCCTTTATACTATAAAATCATAATATCAGAGACCTTAAAAAAAATACCCCATATGATAAACCATTTAAAGTTACCCCCAAAAAAATTAAATTTGCACATTTAATCAATTTTCATTTTTTGTTCTAAAAAATATAATTAAATGAAACTAACATGAAAAGAAAAAATTGTTAAGACTCGTTTCGTAGATGAACAAAATTTTATTTGGTTTTTAAAAAATTTGCAATCAAGAAAAAGTTAGTTTCATTAATTTTGAAAATAAACTTTCAATCCTTCATCCCTCTCCAATCCACCATTGCATTCAAGAACTGCCATTTTGAGAATCGCCACATATGACATTCTTAAGCCACTATCTCTCGCGACTGATAACCACCTAATGTCAACAACCACCTCCCATTGGCCCTCTCATACTTGTTTTCAAATCAAGTTTATAAAATGACCTATTTTTACCAAAAATAAACAAATATGTTTAATATTTTTTGTACATTAAAATAAGCAAACTATTTTCATAAATTGTACAAGGAATTTTTTGAAAACTCCCTCCAAAAAACACTTTTCATGTTATCTTTTAAAATTTAAAAAATATATATATTTTTGCACAAAAATAAAAACAATATGAGAGCAATGGATATTTTTGAACTTTTCAATGTCTTCATTCTAGAAAAACAAGACAAACAAAAATACCCAAAACAAAAACAATACCAATCAGGATCCTTAATAACCTTCTTGTTCCTCTTCTCAAAACATGCCACCCATTCTTTTACACTAACGATGCGTAGTGAGTTGATCCTCTTAAATTTTGCATTTAGCTAACAAAAATGGAAACAGAAATGCCGGCTCAAAAACCAGAATACAAAAAAGTTCACTATTTACATCCAATATATGAATATCAGCACAATATTTGTACATAATTTATGACAAAGGTGGTAAATAGATCTCCTGCTTCATATCAATCTGTTCGCTGTAAACACAGTATTGATCATCTCTTTCAAATTCCTGCATCCCAAGATTGCTGTCCCCTCAGTGCCAATAGCTGCAAGAGGTTTCTCAGTTGATTTGGGGACAATACACTTTTTGTATCCTAGCTTCACCACTGTATTCAACCGCTTCTCCATTCTTGATACCTGCAAACATTGGTACAATGAACCAAACAAAACAAAATGAAAACAAGAAAATGAGTCTATAGTCAAACGAAAATTATTTATATTTATAATTTAATTTAAGTTGATGGAGGAATGTATATTAATTTTAGATATATCTTATTTGTACACATGTTAGACACGAATAGCTTATGAACACACTACGGGGCATGCTGGAATACCTCTTGCCATGCTCTCTCAAAATGTTTTTATCTTAAGACATTACTCGCCAAAACTAATATATAAGAACGTATTTTTCACGTTAAGGAACTATTTTTACGTGCCATTTCATGGGATACTATAAACTTTTGGAAAAAATAAAATTTTAAGATAGGTACAAGATGTTAAAGGCTAGCTAGCACTGAAGGAATGAATGTGATTATGTTAAGCAAATTGCTCTTTCCATATAACAAGAATCTAATGTTTTTACAGTTTTCAAGTTACTACGTGTAGAGATATAGGAATGTACTTATTGGAAATGCTTTTGGCTTCAATAAGGGGTTTTACAAACATATGAACACATAAATAATATCTACTAAAAAAATACATCCTTAGTACCAATCAAAGAAAATCTATCTATATTTTTTATTTTATTTTATAATATTGAAGATCAGAATATAATCAGAAACCCAAAACGTGATCTTCCGAATACTATAGATGGCACATTAGAAAAGGTATTGTATAAACTGAATTGGCATTTCAGACTAAATTTTAAATTTAATACAATAACAGAGAAAGTAGATACTTACTGGGCGAAGCTCGCCACCAAGGCCAATTTCTCCAATGAATGCCACACTATTGGGAATAGGAAATTCCAGGAAACTGGAAAACACAAAAGTCAAATGTTTTCTCGATCTATAACAAGTTTAAGTCGTAAATAGATGAATAGGAGCCAAAACAGGTAAGACGAAAGCAGCAGTACGAGACTTAGTTGCAATAACTAGTGCTGGAATTTGGGCAGGTTTGAACCTGATCCGGAAAAAAAAAAAAAAGGGCAGGCAGGCTCTAGCTCAGGTTTTCTACAGTTGGGCTTAGGTTTAAAAATCATGGGTTTACCTAAGGTCGGGTTGGGCATGAGTTGCTTGCGGTTTGACAGCTAAGGCAACCTGACCAAACCCAACGTGAAACACATGTAGACCAATTTTACCATACATGTAACATGAACTTCACAACATATATTATTTTCTAACTGCTCATACATTTCTTAGAAGCCTGAACATTTTCAGAAACCCCCAAGATAACATGCTATAATGTTGTTTCTATCAGGTGAGAAATGACAAAAGGAAAGCATGCGTAACAAACATAAGAAATGTTAAATACTTGTTTTGAGGACAAGTAAGTAGAAGAACGCATACCTACTGCAAATTGCAGCTGCTATAGCGAGATCACCAGCAGTCTCTGTCAGTGTCACCCCACTAACGACATTTAAAAAGATGCCCTGTGATTGAACAATAAAAAATAGTTAAAGCTTAAAAAAAAGACAAACATGTCACGAAATAAAATGATCAAAACGAAGACAGTATAAACTGAACTATGAGTTATAAAACGTGAACAGTTGATATGATTGAATGCTATTTCTCAGGAAACAGATACTTTCAATGTGTGGTTTTGTATCAAAGACAAATGTCGTTGCATTTCTTGATTTTTTTCTACTTCTCTAACCTAAAAGTAATTTTTTTATCATGATTAAAATGGAGGGAGAAGCCCACATACATTCCACAAAAGACAGAACAAAGAAGAACGATGAGTATTTATTTACATATATGTTTTTGGATAAGATGATGAAATTTGAAAGGATAAATAACAAGGAAGAACAAATTACATTATCTTGAAGCTTTAGACCAGCCTGCTTCTTAAGAACCTACAAATGAAGAGATGCAAGGATCAGTTTCAAATTGAATAGTATTCGGACATTTTAGCACATTGCCAAAACAGAAGCAAGATATCACCTCACCATAATACTGTATACTCCCTTATTTGGAAAAATTACAACAGTAAACAAGGTGGAAATACCATATGATATTTTTTTGGTAAACTTCACATATTATGCCATCGAAAACTCACGCAAGCAAACCTAAGAGTATACCCAGTTCAATGAATAATTTTGTCTTTTAAAATCATAAAAACAGAGTGCCACAAGGAATCTGATAACCACCGTATTTCCACCCCTTTCTGATGTCCAAAAGGAGAAGCTACTCCATAAACATCCTATTGAATAACCCTACACAAAGAAATGCCCTACAATATGATTTGATTTTGTATTAATATATTTGTGATTGTAATTTAATTTACAAGAAAATGCATGTGTAAGAGACAAGTTTCATCCACAACATTAGTGAGGTAAAAGTAACCTTTAATATCCATGGAACACGATCTTTCTTGTCAGTCAAATTGGACACTCGAACCACTTTACACATCAAATGTTAGTCAAACATATCTTTGATCTCAAACCAAAGTGATTCTATGGTCAAATCATGGCATTTGCCATTACAGGTTTGGTTTCTTGTGCCATATGCCATGATTTGTAACGTTGTATCCACAATCCCAAAAAAGAGACTTACCCAGAATGTGTCAAATGTTAAATTGTTAATATGAACTTTGGAACTATTACTTAACTGAAATAATCATGTCTGCTCGGCTCGCTGGAACCCCGTTCACTTGCCTTAAAATCGATGAGCCAGGGATGCATAATGCCTACATGATAACTGCAAGTCATTAAAAGTGAATAATGAAAACTGAATACTAGGATACTAACAGCCATCCACAGTGCGCAATTTATTTGGCTGAAAAATACAGAAGTTACTTGGTGCTGTCCTGAAATGATCTAAACACATGGCTACTAGCATTTGAAATTGACACACACTAAAAAGGTTGACCCAAAAAATTGACTTGAAAAATTAATTCCCTGAAAGTACTGTAAAAATATCAATCAACATAAAAGAAAACTTGATCACTTCATCAATTCAAATGCAAAAATCCTGCTCTGCGTGGACCAAGCACTACAAAAGATATCAACTACAGCAGCATATTACATTTATATTACAGTTTACACAACTGAATCAAGCTAAATCCCACTACCGTGATGCCATGCTCAACAGGAATTCCTAATTCAAAGCAGAGGCCTTCAGGTTAGCTGCCAGCCACAATTTTTAAGTTTCTTCCATAATCAAAGACAACAAACCTGGAAAAAGAAAATAGCTAAGAGGGGGTGGGAGAGAAGGGACAAGATGCCAAATTCAACCGCTGAGAAGCAATGTAGAAGTTGAGTTTGTGACTTGATCCCACAACGAGATTTTCTAAACAATGGTGGAAGTAAGGCTATTGTCAGGTATGCAGCCTCCCCAAGCTCTTGTAAGAAAAGAGGGTATGACTGTTGAATCATACTTTCGCATAAACACCTTGAAAATTCTTGAATGTATACTGAATAATAAGACCTTTGTTTTAACGAATTAATAGGCTATTAGGAAACGATGATACCATTGCCTTTTGGGGAAATAACTTGATGGCTTTTCTTTCCCAATACTCCATCCAAGTTAATTAAGACCAGTAAGCTCAGCACTAACATTTCTGCAACAACAAAAACATTTTTCTAATACTGGACGCAAAAACTTGTCTATATGATCAGTAATAAGAATTTGTAGTAGGGTAAGAAGAAAGCATGTGGTTCAGGAGGCTGCTCTAGGGTGAAGAACGTAATGGATTGCTACAGACAAAGGGCTCCTGCTGTATTCTTTTTTTAATGAATAGCAGTACTTCTCTTTATATGTAACTACCATTGATTACCAACAGACGAGCAAAGAAAAATTAAAACCTCAGAATTTAATTAAAATTTTGAGAAACACACCTTGTGCCATAACTCTAAACTCAGCTTCTGCGCTTGACCTGGCAACCACATTCTATTTCTTACTCCTCCAAGTAATGAGGTTGCCGCCAACAAATGTGCAATACCCTGAAGTTGATCTCCTATCAGTTACTGACCCAGCCCAGTCAGCATCTGTAAAGGCTTCTACACGAAGATGATCATACTTTGAAAAATACAGACCCTTACCAGGAGCAGACTTCAAATACCTCAAGATTCTCATGACAGCCTCAACGTGAATCTGATGAGGAGCATGCATAAACTGACTAACTATACTGACAGCAACAGCAATATCAGGACGGGAGTGAGATAGGTAAATGAGCTTACCCACTAATCGTTGATAGCTCCCCCTATCCACAACTTCTCCTCCTTCATCATCCCCTAATTTCTGATTGGGTTCCAGGGGGGTGGCACATGCCTTGCAGCCAAGCATCCCAGTTTCCTTCAACAGGTCAAGCACATATTTTCTCTGTGAGATAAATATCCCATCCTTAGAGCGAGCAACTTCAATTCCCAGAAAATACTTCAAGCTGTCCAAGTCTTTGATTTCAAACTCTTTAGCTAAATATTTCTTCAACAGAGGTATTTCCCCACTATCATTGCCTGTAAGAACTATGTCATCTACATAAACAATAAGTGTTGTAGTCTTACCGTGTGAGGAATGTTTCACAAACAATGTGTGATCTGCCTGACTTTGTTTGAAGCCATATTTAAACATAGCCTGAGTGAATCTCTCAAACCAAGCCCTTGGAGACTGTTTGAGACCATATAATGACTTCCGAAGTTTGCATACTTTGCCTTCTGTTTGATGATCCTCAAAACCCAGAGGAATGTCCATATATACTTCTTCTTCGAGGTCACCATGGAGAGACCAGAATTCAAAATGAAAAAAAAAAAAATAGTGAAATCGTTTTTTCAGCGAATCCAAATTGAATACTGGTGAATACCTCGTCAGTGGATCCAAATCGATTCTTCACAGATCGAAGTAAGCGATGAGATGAATGTTTCTCCCCCTGACAGAATTTAATTTAATAGTTAAGTAGCATTCAGCTAAAATTATGTTCAACGCAACAGTGTCGAGTAGAGAATCCACTGAAGCATAATACAAAAGTACAATCTCAAATTCTCATCAGCTCAACTTTATGAATGGAGATATTTCATCAATATTCATAGGCTTTTTGACAACTCCTACTCAACTAGGATGACAAACTAAAATATGAAAGTTTGACACTTCAACCCAATAACATAACTAACCAAAAATAAGACCCATGGGCCCAAACTACAGCTAGCGTCTAGCAAAAACTAAAATTACTAAAACAAACTTAACTCTTGAAATAAATAAAAACAAGCAACAAAACAACTTGAATAAGCATAAATTAGGACTCTAAACAAAACCACTCTTCACTGTTGAAATATAAATCAAAGCAACAAGCAGCAAAACAATTTTAACAAACATAAATTAGGACTCTAAATACAAGCATGAGAACCAAAATTGTTTCTTGCTGTGAGGTCCATAATTTTTGCTATCAGACGCCAAACTCAATTATATTTATTCAGACACTCGATAAAAGTGGCACAACAGTGCCTAGGTCCGAGAATGGATTGCCGGGGCGCAAAGGGATGCACCACAGCCTAATGCTAGAGGCCCATGTGTCACAATGACTGGTTGACACATAAAGGTATCTTGGTGATAAGGTGACAACATGTGCCAGAGGTGGGACTATCAAGCCACAAAACCAACTCCAAACTATCCAAGATAGAAAATGCAACAAGATACCTACTTCCATATATAAAACAACATCAACAATGTGCTCCAAGACACGAGGTCCTGCTATGTCTCCAGATTTAGTCACATGTCCAGCCTGGAATTCACAAGAAGAGGTGATTCAGTTCAAATCCAAGTAGAGCATTGAACAAAACAAAAATTGACAATATTTACAGAAAAGATCGATCATGTTTATAAGCAACAGGAAAATGCCACTGGATATGAAATAAAAACATCAATTTACATGGACAAAAAGAACAGACAAGAAGAAGAAAAGGTCCAAAGAATGAAGGAAAGCACTCTTATTGTTTGGCTGCTTGTATGGCTGTACTTTGCTTTTGTTGAGCTGATTGATTAGCATTTCTGATAGTTACATCTAGTATAGCTGTTGAGTGTATAGTTTTTAAATTTTTTTTAATTTTATATTTTTGATAATCTAGGATATATCTCACCCAACCCATCCCAATTAGACCCAAGTTACCTTGTATCTGGACATCCGAGAACTAATCCTGGAGGCCCTGAAGTTAACGATCAAGCAAACCTCCAGTGAACCTAAGTGTATAGTTTGTTACAAGAATCTTCCTTGTAATGCCTGGGGTATGCACCATGTAGAATGTAATTTTTGCATATCCTTTATAAAATTCAATCTTACTTTTTTTCTTTTTCTTTTTTTTTGGGGATAAATAACCAAACTTTATTAGAAAAGCATCAATATGATGCAAAGAGTACAGAACTATAAGCCACAAAGGCTCAACGAATTAACAAATCAAATCCTCCACAAAATCTACAAAGGCCAAAACATCAGGATCAACCAAAGTTGTCACCCAACAATGCAAAACCGTAAGCATCCGTCGCTCCAACCAAGGAACCAAATGAGACACCCCCTGGAAAACATGCCTATTACGTTCCAACCAAACCAACCAAACAAGACAATGAAAAGCAAGCAACCATGCCTTCCGACGCCACCTACCAACTCGACCCCCCATCCAACTCTGCAGAACTGCCGTAACTGAATCCAGATGCACCCAAGCCAACCCAAAAGTCGCAACAACTAGCATCCAGAGGCGAGAAGAGGCGAGAAGTAACTGGACAATGAACTAGCAAATGGTCCATCGACTCCGCATCCCCACAACACAAGCAACACCAATTGACTAATATATAGCCACGGCGGATTAGATTATCCAACGTCAAGATACGCCCCAACATGGCCGTCCACACAAAAAAGGCCACCTTGGATGGTGAACCTGACACCCAGACACATTTCCACGGAAAAACAACAGATAAGATTCAATCTTACTTACCAAGGAAAAAAAATGTTATTAATCACTGGTCATACTTTAGCCAAAGGAGATTAAAATTGAAGATACTTTTCTACGTCAACGACCTTTTTTTAGTAAGTAAACTAAATTAATATAAAAGACCATTAAAAGGGAATGCATATGGCTCAGGCAATAGCATATTTGCTATATAACCTATTAAAAGAGCATTATTTTATGTATTTTTAATATGTATAGCAGTGTTGTGAAAGGCACACCTAGGCACGAGGCGCGGCGAGGCGCAGATGATGCGCCTAAAGACACCCAAGGCGATGCGAGTTGAATAAGACGACAAAAGGCACACGACTTTGGCCAGGTGACCAAAGGTGCGAGACGCACGACTTGATGGGCTTTTTTTTTTTTGTTTTCTGATTGAAATCAACGGTTCATATCAATGTTTTTAACCGCTCGAACTGCAAAGATTATAACTCTAATGCATACAACTCAATACCCAACCCCAAATACGACTAAAAATCCTCAATCGATTGGAAAGAAGAAATCTTGTGGTGTCTGTAGACACAAATTTTAAAACATGAAGTGTTTCAACACATTTCAAAATTTTATGTTACAAATGTCCACTGTTTAGTTTTTGGACTAAACAGTGTTGATTATTTGAATTGCAGGTTCTTATTTTCGATCTGTATTTCAGATCGTTAATTATATATTTTATACAAATGAAACCTCCGATTAATGAAGAACAAAAGAAACAACAAAAGACAATTTAAGAAAATAAAATAAATATTTATTGAGGTTGTTATGGGTTTTGAACCCTCAAATACAAAATACAATTCTTGAGTTTGGAACCCTTTACCTATTCATCGCCATTAGCGTAGGCTCTCGAATTCTCTAGGCTTCTCTTCTTCTTTCTTGTAATGATTTCTTTAGCTCTCTCTCTCTCTCTCTCTCTCTCTCTCTCTGTGATCTTTTCACTTCTGATTTTCTGATCCCCGCCTTTTGTGTGATGGTCCTCATATTTATGGAGGGCCATCAAGTGATAGGAATGCTTCATCTTCAATTTGAATTTCAAATTAAATGATAGCGTCTATTTGAATTTTGAATAATAGCGATATCTGATTAATCGCATATCTGATTAACCGGATTGATCTTTGGGATTTCATCCTGTGTGGTGTCCTTCCTGTAGGCTCTACAGATGTCATCTTTCGTAGGCTCCACTTGAGTATCTTGAATAACGTTGTTGAGATGCAACGTCGTTTTATTTATATATTTCAACGGATCATATTGATCTTTTTTTAGGAAGTGATTACCTACAACCTTCCTATCATAGACTCCATACGTGTCATAAATTTAGTTGAAATTTATGTGCCAACAGTGTCTGAGTTCTTCGGCTCGATTCAACCAGGTGAGTTCTTTTTCTTCTTCTTCTTCGCTGCTTTTTTTTTTTTTCACTGCTCTCTTTTTATGTTTTTTTTTTTTTTATTTGCTTCTTCTTCTAAGCTCGGTCCTTCTTCTCCTCCTTCTTCCCCTTCGCTGCTGTATTTTTTGTCTTTTTTTGTTTTTTGTTGCTTCTTTGATGTTGTCTCCTTCTCCTTCTTCTTCCCCTTCGCTGCTGTCTTTTTTGTCTTTTTTTTTTTTTTTTTTTTTTTTTTTTTTTTTTTTTTTTTTTTTTTTTTTTTTTTTTTTTTTT